TAAACATGTTAACTAATATCAACAACATGCAGTGAATAAGTTAATATCAGCTTCTGATTTTGAGTCTGATCACCCCCTCCTTCCATCATTTCCATTACATAGGCGAGTGGGATTGTAGTTTATAGAAGACCCCTGTGGAAGCTGATAACATTGTTTGAGAAATCAGTTCAGTACACAGGAAGTTATAGATATTTTGGGCTTGTTCATACCACATCCAGTGCATTCTAGCATTGTCAGTGGCAGGAACGCACTGGATCCCACGTTCTGGGGCGGGAGGGGGCGTGGTGGTACCATTCAAGTTAATGGTGTGACGTAAGCCCGGCCCAGACCCGCTGTACGTCAATCCCACGTGACCATACACAAGTCTGAACCGAGCGTGAGCGTCACAAGGATGTGGCGATACCACTCTCAGCCTCTCATTTCCCAGCTCGCAGGACACAATCTCAGGTCAGCAGACCGAGAGCGATCGTCACCAGGGTTGGGTAACTCAGCAGTTAACCCTTTACACACCAAACTTCCACTGCCACCATGTGTTTTCCGGAACACAAACCGTGCCCAGCAAATGCTGCGACTATTCAAAACACTTAAACAATGCCTGTGATAGCGCTGTACTCTCAGACAGGAATATGAGAGGATTCACTATACAGTAGCGCTCTTCAAAGAGCAAGGATACTTTAAATTCGTATTTAGAGCATAGAGATAAGCTTAACGATTTTTTATATCGTCCTTTAATAAAAGAAACGGTGCAGAAAATATACAGAAAAAAGATTTAATAAAAAAAGAGACACAATATATATATATACAAACAGCAAAATGAAAGCGAATAAAAGAAGAATACTCAACAGTCCTGGAATTGTGAGTTCCAAAAGACTTCAGAGTTCAAGAAGCAAAGTGGAAGTCTGCCGGGCTCTTCTTCAAGCCGACTTCCAGCAGATAATGTCCAAAGATTAAAGGGGAACTCTTCTGCGATGTTCAGACTTCTAGTTCCTCGATGATGTTTAAAACAAGAGCCACTCTAGTTGCCAACACAGAGTATTTTATAAGACCCTTTTGGAGGGTGTCCCGGAGCCAGCCCCTAGGCCGGGGTGGGCGGGCAAACGGGCAGAGGATGAACCTTTAGTTTACCTATCACCGCCCAAATTCCAAAGTATCAAAAATGTAACTTGATTTTCCAACGTAGGGTTTCTGACTTTTGTGGGAATGCGAGGTCATCACCTAGCAGACCTGCTTGTTTATATAAGAAGTCCACTCCTAATATATGGAGGGCCTAGTGCCATGCCTTTTTACGACAGTCATAAAAGGATTAGCAGAGATATGTTGCAATGTCCCTCTGACTGGGCAATAAAAGATCACAGCCAGAGCATCTCTTTGTGGAATGTGGAGGGACCTGTCACATCACTGAATGAAGGCCTGCAGGTGCTCTGAACTGGGGCACAGCACATTATATTTGGTATATTCAGACTCAGACCCCCTTATCGTCACAGATGGTTTGCAGCATTTTTTATGTTGGATGTTTTATTTTGGTGGTACAACATGATTTGGGTTGAAAATCTCTGAAATCTACTTGCTCAGGAAGCCTGGAAGAGGCGAAACGTGTTGAGAAAGTTAAAGACCATAATAGGACTATTATTAGCAGTCCATGTTGGTTATTTGTATGATATTTTTAATACAGACGGGGTTTCTGTTTTTAATGTTGTAATAAGATATGTACGTTTTTACCAAACCACTAATGTTGCTCCCCTTATAATTTTCCTTTTTTTGACATGCATTTTACAGCAATGCCGAATGGCAACCGGCTACAGAGAACTACAAATCCCAGCAATGCATTATACATCAACGCAGAATAATACCATCAGCTATAGAGGACTACAAATCCTAGCAATACATGATACAGCAATTCAGAATAATATGATGTTACATGCTCTATGCTGCTCCGGGGCACAGGCCTTATGTCTCCAGAGGAGGATCTCAGGAAGGCTGAACGTGGTCTCAGGGGAGCTGTGCAGGGTCTCAGGAGGCTGTGGGGATCTTAGGAGGCTGTTCGGGCTCTCAGGTGGCTGTGCGGGCTCTCAGAGGCCCCCCCGAAAACAACAGAGTATGTAGCTTCACATAATTTTGTATTGCTGTATAATGTATTGCTGGAATTTGTAGTCCTCTCTAGCCGGTCTCCTTACTCCCTCCCTTGGCTGCCTCTCCTCGCTCTCTTCTCTATAGTCTCAAATAAAAAATGCCGCACGCGGCGCTAGAGTGTTCGGGTTTCACTTGAAGGAAAGGTGGCAACCCTGGGTCCCCTGCAAGTGCGGGACGTCAGGCAGCCACTTCCATGTAAAAATTGAAAATACCAAGGAGAGGGAGAGAAAGGGGGGAGAGAGAGAGGGGGGGAGAGGGGAGAGAGAGAGAG